TCGAGGCTCGTGACTTCCAAGCTTGACCATGGAGACATGTGGTGCTTGGTTCATACACCACGAGAGGTCTTTGTGAGAGTATGTTCTTGGTTACTTATTCATAGCCTGATTTTATTGTATACACCTCGAGAGGTCCTACATTATAAATTTATAGATATTTTGCTGTACATATTTTTGTTTTAAAAAAAAAAATCATTGAAGTTCCGGATCTTTGATCCATAATTTCTTTGGTGTCGGGGCTAGCCGTTGATAATACCACGTTTAAGGCGTAAATCATCCATTTCAAATGGAGTTGAACTAGTGACCTTGAAAACTCTTTTTCAAGTCTCAAGACTACTAGGCCACCAACCACTTGGTTACTATACATATTTGTAAAATTAGTTTTTAGCCACATTTATTTTCATCAATACAATCAATTATTAAGGAAAAAAAATTCATGACGGTATATACATACTGATATAGCAAATTACGTAAAAATGCTGAGAAGATTTAAAAAAAACCAGAAGAGTAGAAATGAAGAAGAAGGTGAAACTGAGAAGATTTCCAAACTGAAGACTTATTCTGCATGGTTTGGAGAAGGTAAAAACATGTATCTCAACTTTCTGACCCAAAGAGTAAAACCCAAATTCCAAGTGGGATAATAACTTAGAATCAGCCCATTGGGCTTTTGATTTTCAATTTGGAATTAGGTTTTTTTGTTGTTGCATATGCTCTCATTTATAAACAGCAAGAACCCTAGCCGCTACATTGGTTGAGGTTTCTACAACACTGACGAAAATGGGTACTTTCAGGGTAAGCTCCTTGATCTCGTCGTCTTCATCTCACTATCTCCATTGTTGCCGATTCGGGTATTAGTTTCTGTAAATCTGATATATCGTCTCTGTCTTTCCTTCGCAGTTTCATCAGTACCAGGTTGTCGGAAGAGCTCTCCCGACAGAGAAAGATGTGCAGCCTAAGATTTACCGGATGAAGCTTTGGGCCACGAACGAGGTTCGTGCCAAGTCCAAGTTCTGGTTAGTCAATTATTTTCTATCTCTTTGTGATTTTTTTTTTCTTTTTGTTTGAATTATCGGTTTGATCTTTAACTAGGTTTGTAAATTTGGAATAGGTATTTCTTGAGGAAGCTGAAGAAGGTTAAGAAGAGTAATGGCCAGATGCTCGCCATCAACGAGGTACTTCTTCGTTGAAATGACAATCTCGACGGATATAACTTAACTGTATTGTCGATTAATATATCTGGAAAGTAAATGTATTTGGTGGATTAGATCATAGAGGTTTAGATTTCATGAGCACATTCATAGCTATGATTCACAGTCTTTACAAACAATTTATGTAATCCTTGAGCTTATGTGCACTTTCAAGGAGCTTCATCATGCTAATCCTCCTTGATTCAGTAATTAAAGCCATTCTCAATGCAATACTGTTCTTTGTTCTATCTTGGTTGAATTGAAAATTGTGTTTGTTTACAGCAGTTCCAGTTCAAATGCTTCTCTTTTGTATCTCTCTTTTGATTTGTTATATGGTTTCCCTTGCAATTGGATCAAAGTGGAAACAATGTAATGTGTTCCCCAGTTCTAAGAGTTTGTATAGCTTAGCGTTCGTTGCTTACTCTTTACTGATGTTGAAATCGTTTGCAGATTTTTGAGAAGAACCCGACAAAGATCAAGAATTTTGGAATCTGGTTGAGGTACCAAAGTCGTACTGGATACCATAACATGTACAAGGAATACCGTGACACCACTCTTAACGGAGCTGTGGAACAGATGTACACAGAGATGGCTTCCCGACACCGTGTCAGATTCCCTTGCATCCAGATCATCAAGACAGCCACTGTCCCTGCCAAGCTATGCAAGAGAGAGAGCACCAAACAGTTCCACAACAGTAAGATCAAGTTCCCCTTGGTGTTCCGCAAGGTGAGACCACCAAGCAGGAAGCTGAAGACGACTTACAAGGCCTCCAAACCCAACTTGTTCATGTAAAAGGTCTCTTGATTGACTCCTTTGTTTCTTGGGTAGAATCGTGATGAAAGAGTTATGCTATCTGTTTTGGATTTTGTCGAATGTTTTTGTTTATCAATATTTTAGACGTGACCATAAAACTCAAGTCATCCTTCTCTGGATTTTATGTTTCTGGTTACCTGCTTATGAAAAATCCTTTTCCGTGTTTCTTATTTCCTATCTTGTGCTCTTTGTTATAAAACTACATGTACAAGTATAACGAAAGATTGTCGAAGAATCTTGAAATGTGATACGAAACTCTGTATCAGAATTCCGAGTTAAGTAATAAGATTTCAAAATTCCAAGTAATGACAAACATCGTACAGGGGCATTTCGGTCATTTTAATCACCCGAGAAGGTAAAAAGCATCACTTTCGGAGGACAAATATCTTTCCGCGGAGTAGCTACAGTCAAAAGTCAACACAGTCACCAGACCGAACCTCGAGTCTCTCTCGGCAATGG